GGTGAGGACAAGAACTACTGAGTCAACTTTATGTTTTTAATCAAGAGTAGCTCATTGTTCACAATTATGTTGTTTGTCATGTTTGAGAATCCAAACTGAGTCGGTGACTTAGCGCCCCCTTGTGGAGAAAGCAGAGTAACTGTCTGTACAAAGTGTTGTTTCTGTTTTGAGTTCAGTTCAATTTAAAGAGAAGTGTTTGTTTTAACCTTGATCATGTTTACACATTGCTTCAGTATATTGTTTCAGAAAAGTGAAATCCTGCAGACATCACGACAATCTAAAGTAAATTCCATATTTGGACACACTCAGGCCGTTATTTAAAGTCTGAGTTATGCAAAGTAATCCTCCTGATGGGTTGAGGTCCGAGCTCGGTGCAGACCCCTCAGGTTCTTCTGTGTGTGTGTTCTCATGTTTATTTATGAAGCTGTCTTTGTGCACAAACTGACGACACAAAGAAGAAAACACTCTGACAGGTCGAGCATGACAAAACATCCACCACCAAACATTTACCAGAGAAGGAGTTTAACATCATGATTTCTGTGTGTGTGTGTTACTTCAGACACAGAGATGGAGCCCGACACAGAGAATCTGGAGACCGTTCCTCCTGTCAGCACGGAGCAGGTGAACCAGATTCTGATTGGACGGATGAAGGGGATCCAAGGCCACTGCAACTCCTGCTACATGGATGCTGCCCTCTTCAGGTCAGGATCACCATGACAAGACAAAACCACATGAACTCCGTGATATCGTTGAGGATTGTTCAAATCAAATCATTTCTTGTAACTATTTCCCTTTTTTCAGACAGATGTAGGATGATGAAGTCAACTCTAATTTATTTATTCTGCACCTTTAATACCAACAGACGCTTCAGATAGTAAAAGAGAAACAGCACAGGTAAACTTAAGGACTAAAAAAGGTGAACCTGAATGAACTGAGAGATCAGAAAACGGTCTCCATGCTCAGGAAGGCTGTCACTGTTACCGCTAAAATCAATTATCGCTGTTTAAACCAGCCAATCACAGAGACCAGAGGCAACCGACATAACTGCACCTGAAGTCACCTCCCCCCAACTAATGTTCAGAAACAAGGCAGCTGCCCTGGTACCTAAACCAGATGTAACTTCTTCTCTTCAGGAACCAAATGAAGCCAAATGAAATCAGAGAACCAGCTGATTTAGATGATGCAGTTAGTAAAACCTGCACCAAAAAGATCGGTTTGAAACGAGGAAACATCCAACATCCACCTCACAGATAGTATCTGACCTGCACAATTATTTCGATTGTGACTTTTACTAATTTATTTTTTATTTTTTTTAACTTCTCTTTAGTGGGATTTTTTATTTTTCAAATAGAGATTAAATAAAATCTGAGACATGTTTATTCATACCTCAAACCAACACAAAACAAAATGATAATAAATAAATAAAAACATAAGATATAAAAAACATAAGTAAAAACAAATAAAATACCAAAATAATAATTAGATAAAAAAAGAGATTTAAATAGTAATAATAATACAACTTGGAGGATGTCAAGTGCTCTGCATTTTACTAAATTCTTATTTTTTCATGGGGTTGTTTTTGTTATAGTATTCTATAAATGGCTGCCATATTGAGTAAAACATATTTATCTTTCCTCTCAGGGTAAATTTTATTTTTTCTAACTACATCATTCATTAAAGCTTGACAAACTGGAGGATTTTTTTGTTTCCAGTTCAGCAGAATTCTTCTTCTTGCTAACAGCATCACAAAGCACATCACATTCTTTTGGTTGTTTGATAAAGAGAGCTCCATAGCAGCTGATCCAACCCCAAACATTGCAAGAACTGGGTCTGGTTTGATATGTTTCTGGAAAATCTCAGATAAACTTTGGAATATCTTGATCGACTTTTACTAATTTTACTTATTTTCTTAACAACAACGCTGTCACAATCAGCGACACACACAAGACAAATGTATCCTGTGACACACAAACAAATTTGCTAAATACATTAAAAAAAAAGAGGTGGTGCGAGAATAGCGCGTTGTTGAGCCGCCCTGGATCACCACGCTGGAGTTTCCTTCACCTGCACCGTATACTTTACTGCGCTCGATTAGCATTCACGAGCTAGTTTCAGACCTGTGTTGCTTCATTTCTCAAACATTGTGAGCAGAGCCACGTCCTAACTTTAAGCTTTTTAATGTAACGTGTGTGTTTCTCTCGCCCCGTGTGTTCAGCTTGTTCTCCTGCTCCTCTGTGCTCGACTCCATGCTGTTCATATCAACAAAACCTCAAGACGCCCCGATCCAGAACACTCTGCTCTACGACATCGTGAACCCCCTCCGCAGGTGTGTGCTCTTACTTTCATTATTTTTTATTCTTGGTGATTTAATAGAGGACAAACTCTCTGTGCTCCATGCTGTTTGTATCATCTTACAGGAGAGGCTTTGTGGAGGGGCGGCACGTCATGAAGCTGAGGCAACAGCTGCAGAAACACGGCTACAGTCATTCCTTCACCACTGATGAGAAGGGTCCGTTTCAATTCTGGTTTTTTTTTGTTTGTTTTTTACATATTTAGAGGCCAAACGACTAACAGGACATCATTTTGGAAATAATCTAGTACATGGCTTCATATATCCAGTGGATTGTTTGGCTCATGCATGTGCAACAAGCACGGGGGCACAATGTGGACCTGATGAATAGCCTAATCGATGCAACAGTTCCTTCTTGACAATCCTTTTAAACAACGGCAGCTAATGGTTCACGTTGCAGAGGTCGAGTGTTTGACTCCAAATTTGTGCAGATGCGAGTGAAATGTGCACCTTCCTCTTACCTTTCTCTGAGCCTTAATATCAACATTTATCTAAGGGACAATCAATCTACTGCAGCAAACCAGAACCTTTAAAAAGCCTCATGGTGATGGTGGTTGTTGTCTTTCAGATCCAGAGGAGTTTCTCACCGTCATCATGCACCACATCCTGGCTCTGGATCCTCTGCTCAAACTGTACAGTGACATCATCACAGCTCCACCCCTGTTTGTTTTTTCAGTACAAAGCAGGAACACTTTGAACCTCTGAATAAAAGTGAAAATCCTGTTTTTACATTTTCTCCCCGTCGCAGCTCAGCTGGGAGTAAAGTGCAGGAGAGCTACTGCTATCAGATCTTCTTGGACCAGAAGCACAGCCTGGTGCTGCCCACCGTCCAGCAGCTTCTGGAGCATTCTTTCCACAGCACAGGACTCAAGCTGGCAGAGGTGAGATCACATCGTTTCTTTGTTGCACTGTAATAATGTCTGTGCATTGGGCTGCATGGTGGAGCAGCGGTTAGTGGTGTCACCTCACAGCGACGAGGTTCCTGGTTTGAATCCTCGTCTGAGTTTGCATGTTCTCCCAGTGCGTGCGTTGGTTCTCTCCGGGCTTCCTCCCAAAGTCCAAACACACGCTCGTTGGTGACTCTAAAATCACTCAAAGTGTGGCTGTGAGTCAGAGTCGATACTTTCTTTCTATTCAAACTAAATCTGACATCCATCGAGTATTTAGTATGATCCCAGTGCAATTTTGTGAATGTGAGAAATGCCTGGGTGTAAACCTGAAGTATGAAACAGGAGCACACTTATAATAATTACGATAATTCTTCTTAACCTTCTTGATTTATGTCAATCTGTTACTAATGAGACGCTTGTTTCTTGCATGTTGGTTGTCAGGAGATGTATTCATCTGATGCTTTCCCCTGATCGTCCAGTAGATGTCTCTGTTGCTGAAGTTTTTCAGCAGATCGTTCTCAGCTGCTTTATTGAGTTTCTCCCTCCTGTCCAAACGCTGTGATGAGATCTTTTCATTTCACTGAGTTTTTATGTCTCATCATTTCAGGCTCCATCCTGCCTCATCCTCCAGATGCCTCGCTTCGGGAAGAAATTCAAAATGTTTGACAAAATCATTCCCTCTCTGGAGCTGGACATCACCGACCTCCTCTCTGAAGGTAACATTGAGCACACACACACACACACACACACACACACACACACACACACACACTAACATGAAATTGGACACACTGAATGCAACGTGTGTGTGTGTGTGTGTGTGTGTGTGTGTGTGTGTGTGTGTGTGTGTGTGTGTGTGTGTGTGTGTGTGTGTGTGTGTGTGTGTGTGTGTGTGTGTGTGTGTGTGTGTGTGTGTGTGTGTGTGTGTGTGTGTGTTTCAGGTCCTCAGCAGTGCATGCTGTGTGGAAACTTGGCGCAGAAAGAGTGCAAGGACTGTTTTGAAGATCCTGTTTTCAGCCGAACAGGATTCAAAATCTTCTGCAGCAGGTGTTCTCATCAGGTGCCACTTGTATCTCTTTTTTTTTTTTTTTAAACCATATTTTTATTAAGATTTTTAGAAAGTTTTACAGAATATAAAGTCAGACAGAAAAACAAACAAAAAACAAAACAGGGCTTACATTGCAGGACATTATGCTACATTGCATCACTAGCACAATATTTCTGACAAACGTTTAAAAAAGAGGTAAGTGGTGAGCAGTAAAATCAGTTACTGTCTGGGAACTCTGTCCAGTCGGGCAAGATAATCAAAAAAATGGCTGCCAGATGCTGAAAAGTATGGTAAGATTGCCCATCATGCCATACGGGATTTTCTCCATGTGCAGTACACAGGTGAGGTCAGTTAGCCAGGTCTTGAACTGGGGCACAGTGTCAGACTTCCAGAGATTTACGTGCCACTTGTATCTTTGTCAAACATTTGAGTCTCTGTCTTTGTAGGTCAGCTCTGGCTATGATTAAAGGGGAACGCTGTCTGTGCTTTCACACAAAAGTCCTGAAAAAAGACATTTATTGATCAGTGCACGACCACCGACTATAAGCACACACCGTGATCTCCGTGCTCTAATCAACCTGCTGCTGCATGTTTCCTGTTCTCCAGGATGTTCTTCTCCTCTCTTCAGTTCACATTGAGATTATGGTCAACTACACAGAGCATTGATAGAAAGACAAATATTCTCATTATAAGGTCGTATAGAGGACTCTGTTGCTTCGTCCGCTACTTCCACGTCGTTGTTTTTAAGTCATGCCTCAGGAGACCCCCACCTGCCAGGAGGATTTCAGGGACAGTCCACCTACAATTCTCTAGAAATGTGAAATGTGAAACCGTCTGTATCCAAAAGAAACATACGTTTAATACCTCCCACCTCTGATTACGACCACAGTCTTAACAGCACCGTTACCTTTTATTTCAGCCAGAGCATTCTGGATTTATTGTGTGCTGTCAAGATAAGATCCAAATAAACGCCTCAAAAAATAAATTCCCTTCTCTAGTTTAAATGGTGTAAGGAGCCGTTAGAGCTGTAGCAAAAGAGACAGCAGCTGAAATGAACAGATTCAGTCAGAGGCTGACATGAGGGTTTTTACTGATGCCAGTATCAGATAAGGAGTTTTCTGAGCTACAAATCATGAAAAAGCTCCTCCATAGGTTTCACATGAACACAGGAACATGAGGAGAATATGGGATGATTCACTTTATTTCCTTCATTTGTCTGATCATGAGGTTTCATGTGAAAATTTGCAGTAAATAAAATTTTGAGGTAAAATATTGAACAGCTGAAAGTGTTCCTAACTTTGTGTGTTTTTATCTCTCCAGGTGCACGCTCATCCTCAGCGCCAGTCCCATAAACCAGCTGATTTGGAAATCCCAAAGGCTTATATTAGCCGCGGCACACCTCAACCTCAAGCTCTGACCAGAGACAAAATGCAGCTGTTCGCTGTGCTCTGCATCGAGACAAGCCACTACGTGTCCTTCATCAAACACGGACCGAACAGCCAAGACTGGATCTTCTTTGACAGCATGGCGGACCGAGAAGGTGAGTCCTGCATCGTCTCACTACATTCTTTGTTTTTCTACATGTGCTCTTTGGCTCATCAGCTGCTTTGTGTTCAGGAGAGAGAGACGGCTACAACATCCCAGAGGTTCAGGCCTGCCCTGAGGTCGCCATGTACCTGGAAATGTCTCCCGCCGAGCTGGCCACTCAGGTGCCTCGAGACATGAAAGGTGTGGCCAAACGTCTGTTTTGTGACGCCTACATGTACCTGTATGAGAGCACCAGCATGTGTCTCTATCGCTGAGGGGACTCAGGAGGACCTTACTTCATACGCTTCTATTTCTGCTTCTGCTGCTCTGATCATTTTCTTTGGTTTGCTAATCTGTTCTAAATGTGGGGAAGAGTGCACACATGAGTATTTAAAACATGTTAAACTTGGCGCCGGGACAGTATCAGGCTTCAGTCATTTGTACAGACTTTCTCTCTGAAATGTTATATGAAGAAAAAAAGCACAAAACTGACTCGATGATTTTGCACTATTCAAACAAAGATGACAATCACTGACATGCATCGGCATGTGTTTGCAAAGATGGACCACATGGTAGGCAGGGTACTATGATTAATCTCTAGTTTACTGTTTCCTGTTGCTGCTGCTGCTGTTTGATAATTATCTGTAGAAGTTGAATTCTTAGGAAAGATAATTCTTTGAAAAATTGTTTTCAATGAGTAGAGAGCGTTCGCAGTAGAAAGAAACGCTCTGTCTTTTTTGTGCAGCCGCTCCGAGCGCTCAAGTTGAAAATTGTTCAACTTTTCAGAAAGGCACTGTTGATACCACCGGCGCTCTTTTCCTACTGTCTGAGCAAGCGCTCCGGAGCGGGGAAGCCAGCGCTAGGTGGACACGTGGCCTTAATGTTTATATTGTATGAATGACTTTCAGGCAAACCTTTTTTTTAAAGAAGACAGAATGTAAAAGATTTAAGAGTGGCCTGTTTTGATTATTGCCACCAAAGGATCCTGTTGTAAATAAGATGTTAAAAGTTTGCTCTATAATTACACCAATGTGTCTCATCGCTGTATGACTAGTTCCTCTGATTGTTCAGGATGGCGACTGGAATTGGTTTCTTATGAGATTAAAGACAAATGTTGTCCAGACTTTTATGTTTTTGTTGTAAAAATGTTGCTGCTTCTCTTGTATACTCTCTGATACGTTGTTTGTGATAACAGTATAAGGAATTGCATTGGAAAATAAAGAGCTACATGGTCCTGGCCTTTTTTTATTTACTGTTGGGTCGTTTCTACAAGTGTTGATGTTGATTAAAATAATCAATAAATACCAAAACATATCCAAGTCCTTTTTTGCATATCATGTTTTTACTCAACTATGAAACATCATTATGGAACAGTGAGCCTCTGGACGTTAGGCATGCATTTTTTGCTGAGGTGTTTATTAAAGCTAAAGATACACCTGTTTACTGTTTAATCACGAGTTGTCAATGTTTCCATGAAGTTCTGTCTTTAAGTCTTAGCCATAGCATTGATGCTATAACTTTGATTTTGAGTGAAAACATTTATACACTTGTAGGAAATGAGTCACAGAATGATTAATAAGCAAATAATTAACTGGTAATTAAGGTTAACTGTTGGTGGTGTTCCACAGGGATCAATCCTTGGTCCCCTACTGTTACCTTCTCAATATCTCCTATAAATCCTCAAAGTTAACAATAAATATGCTCATCACACTGCTCATATATAGTAATAATGTCCACTGAAAACCTGAGGCCTGTTTGGTCAATAATTTAGTGTATCAAAGAGACGTAATAAAGCTCAACAGTGTGATTTAGGAAGTAATCATAGCGGATTTGATTACTAGTCATAATGTCATTACAGTCCAAGGAAGACCTACCCCAAGCTACCTGAGTGTGAAACGATGATATATGCTCCTGTAGGAGACACAAGTTTGTAGGATATCAACCTCTTTAAGAAAAACATGGTTTATTCATGATCTCTGGGTGAGAACTACACTACCCACAATTCTAGAGTGTCACAGCAACATCTCTTGATTGTTGGAGGCCACTGTTACCATGGAAATGTTTACAGCTGCCTCAAACTTCAGCTGTCGGCTGCTACATTTGAAGTTCATAGAAGTTCAAGACATACCCAAGACAAGATTGCTCCAAGACCGAGACATTTAGGGTTTGAGACCGAGTCATGACCAAGACCATAAATATCAATGAAAATCATCATCTTGTGTGCAGGGGGCATGTCACTCACTTAGACCGTAACACCAGGAAGGTTATGGCCGTAACCGGGGGATAAAAAATCAAACTACAAATGAATTTAGTTATTTTGTTCTTTCAGAAGCCTTCTAATCACAGTGATGATGTGAAAACATAGCCGATCAGTGGTGGTCTTGAATTAATATCCGGAGTAAAAATGTTTTAATTTCTATGACGGGCCCTTCAAAAAGTCGTCTTGAGCTATTTCGAGTACTAAAACACTAATTACAACATTATTATTAACAATATACACTTCTGTATAAAGATAAATGTAGAAAGAAGGTCAGCCTACGTTCAGAAAGTAGCGCTCTAAACTATCATTTGTTGGGTCTCGTTGGAATCAAAAATGGATTATGGGAAGTGTAGTTCCTTTACTCCCCGCCTTGTACCTTTACCCTTTTCTCTGTTTTCCAATCACTTTTTTGTCCAGAATCAAATGGTATAAAGTCACTGGTATTTCGGTAGCTGGTGGGTTAGGTTCAAGGATGAAAAATATTGATGTAAGGATTTTCTGAAATGTAAATGGAGGATTTGAATGGAGAAATGTACTTCTGGAACCAGAGCCGCCTAAAGAGTGGAGCTCTGTAACTGGAATTTTCAGTTTTGTACAACTAAAAAATGTGCCTGTCAACATTATGATACTCCGGTTGACTCCATCAGGTGGGAATTCAATGCTCATTAATTCAAATGCTGGCCAAAATGTAAATTTGTGGTTTATTCAAATGATCCTCTCACACAGTTCAACATAAACCTACAGTATTCTCCTTTCTGGTGAATCAAAGATCCGCTGCTTCATGAGGACACTGGAGCAGTCTCTGGGTTTGCCTTCATTGTTTCTGACTTCTCAACTTCCATATTTTTACAGTCATCTTTAATGCCGTTAGTGTGAAACATAAAACAAGCAGGAAATGAACGAGCACACATCAAAGGTTTCAGAGTCAGATCCATAACCTTGCTGTGATCTGAAACGTCTTTTACACTTAGGGTACAACAAAACGCATGCTTCGTCTGCTTTGAAGTGCGCTCTGGTGTCACACCAACCCCATCTCGATGAGTCCAACGCTGTGTGTGTTACATCTCCACGTGATCTGAATACACACATTCAAAGTGTAGGTCAGTTCAGCTCTCACTCTCATCTTTGCCTTGCCTCAGTGGATATTTGTCTTCTCTTGGGATGCTTTTGATCCTGCTGTCCACCGTATATTCAGCTCTGCGGATGACCTCTACACTCGTTAGGAGTGCTGCGCTCGGCTCTGCGCTGTGATGAGTTGGGTGCTTTCTAATACCCGTGGGCACGAGCAACTCGACAGCGAGGGGGGAGAGGCCTTGTCTTTATACTCAGCCGCTGCAACTCAACGAAGCAGAACCCCTTCAGTTCAACATGCTCAGCGTTTTCAAGCATATTCCTCATTATGCAACAAAAAAAAGTACAGATCGTGCGTGTGTGTGTGTGTGTGTGTGTGTTTACATAAGAGTTGTGCTGGTCTGAGCAGTATAAGTTGAACTTCTCCCAGGTTTGTTGAAAGAAGATAATGTCTGCGTAATAAACACACAGAGAGTCAACATGACATTTAATGACTTTCAACTTCAAAATCTGAAGGTGTGATGTCACTGACACGCTGCTACACTACACTTATTGTAGCTGAAGTATAAATGTCCTTTATTAATTGTATAAGCTCAATATTTGTACTGTATGTATGTACCATTATGAGAGAGATCATTCTTGGACTAGAGAACAGTTTCTAAAGGTCTCGTTCTCGGTCAAGCAGATTGACTGATAGGCTTCTTTGTCATGTCATCGCTGTGATTAGAAGGAGAAATGCCCCTTTCTAACACAACGATTAACTTCAATTAATCCGTAGTTTGGTTGCCTCTCCCCCCCCCCCCCGTTACAGCCTCAACCTTCCCGGTGTTATAGTCTAAATAGGTGACGCCAAAACACAAGGTGAGGATTTTTCAATGATATTTATGTTCTTGGTCTTGTCTGTGTCATCCTGACTCGGTGTCAATCCCTAAATGTCTTGGTCTTGTTTCAGTCTTGTCCTGACTTGGTCTTGGTCTTGATCTAGTTAACCCTCGACCAAAGCTGAATTTTTCTTCTTTTGAAAGCCTTGTTCTTAGTCTTTCACATCCAGTCTCAAGAACCTTTCAGCCAGTTCTAGTTGTTGTAGTTTACCGGCCTCCTAGCCCATATTCTGAGTTTCTATCTGAATTTGCAGAATTTCTATCAAATTTAGTCCTTAGCAGTGACAGAATAATTGTTGTAGGTGACTTCAATATCCATGTGGATGTTGATAATGATAGCCTTAGCACAGCTTTCATGTCATTATTAGACTCTATTGATTTCACCCAGGGTGTAAACGAACCTACTCATCGTTTTAACCACACCCTGGATTTTGTGTTAGCTTATGGCATTGAAATCCAAAACTTTACAGTTTTCCTCAAAAATCCTCTTCTATCAGACCATTTCCTTATTACTTTTAATGATTTCGACAAAATTATCTCTGATTAATAAAAATGTGCTCTCTAGAAGTTTATCTGATTTAAGGAAGCTATTTCAGCTGCTTTTGATTCAGTACCGTGTTTCAACCCAGTTGGAAACTCCTATGATAGCTTAGTTACTCTGGATTCGATTGCTCCCCTAAAACAGAAGGTTATCAATCAGCAGAGACTAGCTCCATGGTTCAACTTAGAAACCCGTACTCTAAAACAAACGTCGCAAAATTTTGAAAGAATATGGCGCTCGACCAAAACGGTAGAATCTCGTTTATTCTGGCAGGATAGTCATAGAAAATGTATGAAGGCTCTATGTCATGCTCGAGCTGCCTACTACTCCTCTCTAATCGAGGAAAACAAAAGCAATCCTAGATACCTTTTCAGCACTGTAGCCAGGCTGGCAGAGAGTCATAGCTCCATTGAGCCTTGTATTCCTTTAGCCCTCACCAGTAATGATTTCCTGAGTTTTTTCAACAACAAAATTCTAGACATCAGAGACAAAATTGGTAACCTCCTGGAACCTTTAAGGAAGTCTTTCCCTTAGTTAGCAACTCTATATTAGATATGAATCAATATGTCTTTACTGTCAGGCTATGTACCACAGTCATTTAAAGTAGCGGTAATCTAACCTCTACTTAAAAAGCCTACTCTAGATTCAGGAACTCTAGCTAGCTATAGGCCTATATCCAACCTTCCTTTTATCTCAAAGATCCTGGAGAAAGTGGTAGCTAATCAGCTGTGTGACTTTCTCCATGACAACAGTTTATTTGAGGAGTTTCAGTCAGGATTTAGAGTCCACCATAGCACTGAGACTGCACTAGTTAAAGTTACAAACAATCTACTTCTAGCTTCAGACAGGGGACTTCTCTCTGTGCTCGTCTTGTTAGATCTTAGTGCTGCTTTTGACACCATTGACCATCAGATCCTATTATACAGACTAGAACATTTACTTGGAATTACAGGGACTGCTTTAAGTTGGTTTGAATCCTACTTATCAGACCTATCTCAGTTTGTACATGTTAATGATAAGTCCTCTATGCACACTAAAGTTAGCCATGGAGTGCCACAAGGTTCAGTGCTTGGACCAATTCTCTTTACATTATATATGCTTCCTCTGGGAAATATTATGAGGGAACACATTGAAGCAAAAACCACATAGGAGCTCGTAGACGTATAACGTTTCTGTGTATCTGCTCGGTTCACGGTCTTCGAGCTAAAACCACATATGAACTTAGTATCACCTATGTTATGAACTTGGTATGACCTGTGGATGCATCACGTTTCTGCGAACGTGCATTGTTGAGGTGTTACAGGATCTTGAAATAAAATAGACTTTTTGGCTATAAAAACCCTGTAGAAAATCTGATCGAGGTTCTTTTTTTGCTTTGCTAAAAGAATCCACGTCACTCTGACTTTTGAAATCCCATTTTGGGACCAAGATCTTTTAAAAACCTCAAATGTCTACACTCTCGGGTTTAGACTTTGGTCTTTGTGTTTTGCT